AGTTTCTTGTAACAGTTTTGTGTTAGTATAGCCATCCCTGCTCTCTTTGGTTACTATTTGCATGGAATATCTTTTCCATCCTTTGGCTTTCAACCTATGTATGTTCTTAGCTCAAAAATGAGTCTCTCCTAGACGGCATAATGTTGGATCCTGTATTTTTATTTGTTCTGCCAACCTGTGTCTTTTGATTGAGGAGTTTAATCTACTTACATTAAAGTAATTATTGTTAGGGAAGGACTTTTGCCATTTTAAAATTTGTTTTCTGTATATCTTTTAATTTTTTTTTGTCTCTCATTTTCTTCCTTACTGTCTTCCTTTGTGTTTAGTTGATTCTTTGTAGTGACATTTTTTGAGTCCTTTCTCTATAACTTTTGTGTATTTTTGATAGATATTTTTGTGGTTCCCATGGGGATTACATATAACATCTTAAAGATATAGTCTGTTTTAAACTGATAGCAATTTAACTTTCATTGCATGCAAAAACTCTACTCCTTTATAGTTGTGCCCGCCTTATGTTATCAGTGTCACGAATTATGTACCATTTTATAGATTTATTGTTGTTTCATGCTGTTGTCTTTTAAATCCTTGAAGAAGAATAGAAAATATAATTACGAACCAAAATTACCATAGTGCTAATTTATATAATTGTTCATGTGTTTACCTTTACTGGAGAAGTTTGTATTTTTATATGGCTTTGAATTCTTGTCTAGCATTCTTTCAACTTGAAGGACTCCTTTATAGCATTTCTTATAGAATAGCTCTAGTATTAATACTCCTTCAACTTTTGTTTATTAGGGAAAGTCTTAATTTCTCCCTCATTTTTGAAGTACAGTTTTTGCCAGATATGGAATTCTTGATTTTTTTTCTTTTAACACTTTAAATATATCAGCCTGCTGCCTGTGGCCTGCAAGGTTTCTACTGCAAGATTTCTAATAATCTTAGGAGGATTTTTTGTATTTGATGATTTGCTTTTCTGTTGCTACTTTTAAGAATTTGTCTTAATGATTTGCTTTTCTGTTGCTACTCTTAGGAATTTGATTTTGTCTTTCAACAGTTTGATTACAGTGTTTCTTGGTGTGGGTCTGTTTGGGTTTATCCTTGGAGTTTTTTAAGCTTCTTAATATTTGTATATCTACATCTTTTCTCCATTTTGGGAAGTTTTGGGTTATTATTTCTTCAAATAAACTTTCTTCCTCTTTTTTCTTCTGGAACTCCCACAATGTATTTGTTGTTTTGCTTAATCTGTCCCCATCTCCCTTATTCTGTTTTTCTTCATGCTTTTTTCTTTTGCTACTCAGACTCAATAATTTCAAATTCTCTGTCTTCAGATTTGCTGATTCTTCTCTTCTGCCTGTTCAAGTCTGCTGTTGAACCCCTCTAGTGAATTTTTCAACATAGTTATTATATTTTCCAGCTTTACAGTTTCTGTTTGGTTATTTCTACCTCTTTGCTGATATTTTCATTTTGTTCATACATTGTTTTCCTGATTTCCTCTAGTGTTTTCTATCTTGAGTGTATTTAAGATAGTTATTTTCAAGTCTTTGTCTAGTAAGTCTTAAGTCTATTTGTTCAGGTATGTTTATGTTTAGTTTTTCCTTTGAATGAGCCATATTCTCTTGTTTCTTTGTATGCATATGATCTTTCATTGAAAATTCTGTATAATATAAAATAGGGATCTCTGCCAGTCTTTGCACACTGGCTTCATGCTGGGGGAAGTCCTTCACTAATCAGTGCCATATGAAGGCTTAAGATCTTCTCAGGTCTTTTCTGGGCATTTGTCTTCCGTGAGCCTGTATGTGTACTTTTCACACATGGGCCTAATCTTGTGTACATGGCTTTAAAGTGTGTTAAATTGTTTAAAAGTCTTTCCTCTGCTGCTTCTTGGGGCCTTAGCTGATTATGTTGTATTCCTCTGCTTGTTATCCCTTGCCCCCAGGGGTCTGCAGATTTGTAGTCTGCTTTTGGTTTTCATGAGCCATGCCTACATCTTCTCATGGCCTCCCCCTAGCCTGAGACCTCAGCCACTTTTGACTATCTGAATTCTGAATAAGGTATCACAGAGACCAATCCTTTAGACAGGCTAGAACATTGCAAAGTTGGTCTCTCTGCTCTCTCCATATTGTGGAAGGCAACTGGAGCCTGGTCTGCTACTCCCCGCTTACTTTGCTAGGCAAGGGTGACTATAAATATCACAAAATTATCTAGCAAATGATTGGCGTATACTTGGTTGCTATAGATCTTTGACCACTTTCCAGAGCTTCTATTAAGTTATATTACTTTGAGATCATTGAACTTATTGAATGTGTAGTTTGCTGTTTTCCATCAAATTTGGGACATTTTTTGTCATTTCTTAAAACATTTCTTCTGCTCTTTTCTTTTTTTCTGATGTTCACACTATGCATATATTGGTGTACTTAATTGTATCCCATATTGTCTAACTATTTTTTTCTTTTTTTTCTGTGTCAAGTTGCATAATCTCTATTGGTCTATCCTTAAGTTTGCTAATTTGTTCTTCTGCCAAGTCAAATCAACTGTTGAGACACTTTAGTGAACTTTTCATTTTAGTCATTGTACTTTTCAATTCCGTAATGTCCATTTGGTTGTTATTTATCATTCTATCTCTGTACTGATATTTTCTATTAGAATAGACATCATCATACCTTACTTCAGCTCTTGAAACATAGTTTAACCCTTGAAACATACTTACAATGGCCACTTAGTCTAATCCGAATGATATCTGGGTCCTCTTAGAGATAGTTTCTCTTGCCTTTTTTTTTTTTTTTCCCTGTGTATGGATCCACTTCCTTGTTTCTTTGTATGTCTGGTAATTTTTTGTTGACATGTAAACATTTTAGGTAATAATATTGTAGCAAGGCCATATACTTGGTCCCTCCTTTTCTGTGGCTTCTTTTGGTTTGCTTGTTTATTTCTTTGTAGTTAGTTGGCTGTATTTTAGGGAATTTTATTTCTACCCAAAGATATAGCCTTTGATGTCACTCCTCAGAGAGTAGAGCCTTTGGTATCTGCACAGTCACCTTGGGATGACAGGGATTTTAGTAGGGTTCTTGTTGACTGTCTGTGTTATGTTTGTTTGTTTGTTTGTTTGTTTTTGTCTCTATTGGTATCATTCCTAGATGTGAGGTGCTACAAATCAAAGGGTAGTTGTGCTGTTGTTTTTGACAATGCCCTGGAGTGTAAATTGTTCCACGCTCTTCTTCAATTAAATCAAGGCCCCTTTGCAGGGATAGTTTTTGAGGCAAGTTTGAAGCTTATCTGACCCTAGCAGGACTATTTTTAGCGATTTCCTTCCCTGGTTTTCTCTGGTAAACTGGCTGGCTTACAGGTTAGCTTGTTGAGCTCCCAGCCTCCTCTTCATTGCTTACCACCAGAATCCCCATTGTTTTCAAGAGCATCCTTAGACTTGAACTTCCCCACAGTTTATTTAAAATAAAGTTATCTCCTTTGTGTAGAGGTTTAGAGGTCTCTTATCTTATGGCTTCTTTCCGAAAGTGAAATCTCAAAGACCTTGCTTCAGAGCTAGAGTTGGGGACAGTGACCCGATTCTCTTTGGTAACAGCTTTATGAGTAGGGCTCTTGGTAGGGCAGTAGCCTCTGGTTTTCTTGGCTTACCTCTACCAGTTTAGAACCTCTACTGACAAGTGGGCTGAGGCAGGGGTGATTAGGGCTTCAGTATTTTCAGCCAAGGGTAAAGCCTTTGAACTTTGGGTGGCCACACTCAGAGGAATGTAGCTTTTGCCACTCAGAGCTGTGGAGAGACCGAGAAATCCTGGTGGTTAGCCCCTTCTGTTGAATGGATTTCAGGAACTAGGGAGCCTCATTTTCTTGGCTGCTCAAAGTGGAGCTTCCATTAAGGTGACCTAGGGCAGGGGAGGAAGGATGTGAGTCATGGCCCAAGTGGCTCAGACACTCCCTGTTCTTATTGACATCTAGTAGATTTTCTTGAATACATGTTTCTTCATTTGCTGTGTGCTCTTAAGACAATTTCCAGAGAGTTTAAATGGTTTTTAAAAATAATTTTCACCAGTTGTGGGTGTTTTGTCAAGGAGCAGGTCTGCCAGACTCCTCATCCTCCATCTTGGAATTAGAACCTCTGGGCTTTATCTTGAGGGCTGAGGGCATTGAAGATGTAAGTATTGGTGAAAAGTGGGCTTTAAAAAACTACTTTGGCTGCAATTTAGAAAACTGGAGGGGACAGCTGGATGCAGAGGGAACTCCTAGGATATTACTGAGAAATTGCAGTAATGGATGTTGGTGCGCAATTTAACATAGCAACTGTGGGAAACTAGAAAGTTGAACTAGTTTAACATAGAGAATTGTTAAGACTAAGTAATTAATTGGATGGGTGGAGAGTTTGGTTTAGGGTAGGAAGATGTTGTAAGAGAGGGAGGCATTAAAATGACTCATAGTCAGTACTTCACAAAGTTGTCAAAATGTATATTCTGATTCTGCATGTCTAACAAGCTCCCAGGTGCTCCTGGTCCCCTGTCTCCTATTTGGGAAGCAAGGCCCTAGAGTTTCTTGTTCAGGCAACTGGTGAATGGTGGCAGTGTGAATTGTCGGTTTACTTGTCTGTTTCTACTACTAGATGGCAGGGATTGTATCTTGTTCATTGTTATATTTGAGTACAGAGTAGATGTTTGATGGGTAAATATTTATTGAAGGATTTAATATTAGAAGGAAAAGGATGTAGAAACAGATGAATTTCATTTTGGGCATGTTGCATGTGAGGTGTCTTGAGTTCAGAAAAGGAATTTGGACAAAAGTTTTTGTGTTTTAAGTCGAAGATTCAAATGATAAAAGAAGGGAAGAGGTAGGCTGAGATTATTCTGGGAAGAGTATGGAGGAAGGGGGGAAAACCATAGGCCAGAGCTCATATTCCTCAAGAACATTTATTTTGGACATCTTTTATTGCTATGTCCATACTTCATAACTCCGTTGAATCTTTGAGAGAGCAAAACTTAAGTGAATTTTTGTTACAGGTTAAAGAACTCTTTTCTTCTTTGGGAGTTGAATGTAATATCTTGGAACTTGATCAAGTTGGTAAGTAGAGTGGTTACTACATACTGTTTTCAATAAATGTCAATGAGACTGATTTTATTTGCTTTGTTCAATTCAATTTACTCTCGTCTTTTGGGTTAGGTGAGCTGTTTTTGTCTACATTCAACCATGTAGAAAATGAACCTCTATATGACATAATTTGATGTAGATTTTTTATTGATATTTTTTAGTATTTGAGGGAGTAGGAGGAAAATGTATAAGATGCTAACTTTGAAGTTCTTCAGGCATTTCAGATGTATCAGGCAAATTTCTAGCAAAGTAGATTAAACTGTAATAAGTGAAAAGAATCTACTTCTATTTTCTGATTGTATTACCCTTGAGAGAGTATGCATTAATCTTTTAGCTTTATACTTTTGAATTCTTGTCAAATATGTTAATTGATCTAGTATTAATTGAACATTTTACATATGCATGTCTTTTGCAGAGGTCAGGGACAGAAAAAAATTGATGTCTGCTTTCATGGGACTTACCAACTTCTATTAGCCAGTTACCTTAATAAGTGAAATGTTCTTGAATCTTTGAGACTTTTCCAAAGAATATATCAAATAGTCTTTAGTTGTGGTCTGGTTCTCTGTTTAGGAATGGAAGATAAATTTTGGTCTGTGATCATAAAGATTTTTCAAATATAATTGTAAGAAATATTTTCTAAGTTATTACTGTTAAAGCAGATTTTATCTTGATATTTGCTCTTTAAAGAGTATTCTTATCTATTTGTCTGGCATCATTGAATTATATATCAAAATCTAATTTAGAAGGGTTTATTTGAAAAGAAATCAGATTGGTCTTTAGCCATGAAGGTTTCCTTTGAAAACCTGTATGTTTTCTCCTCTTGAATCATCATTTCATAAAGTTATATAATACACTAACTTCGTATGGGTGTGTACATGCGAGCATTTGAGTATTATAACACTTCAGTTCTTCTCACAAAGGTTTGGAACCCTTTTAATGTTTTTATATATTTAATTTTTTATTCTTTAGATGATGGGGCCAGTGTTCAAGAAGTGCTGTCAGAGATCACTAATCAGAGAACTGTACCCAATATTTTTGTGAATAAAGTACACATGGGTGGATGTGACCGGACTTTCCAGGTAGTAATGGTATTATGTGTTCTTTAATGCTGTTCATTCATTTTGTTAAAAAAAATATTTAAAAGGGGATAAAATGGTTTTTACGAATCTATTTGTTTTTGGAAGTCGTAAAATGGAAAAGCTTATAGGATGATTATCAGATAATCTTGATTTCTTTGATGGAAATTAGCTTTTCTACCAACTCAAACTTCAGAAACTAAGGAAAAGGAGGTTTTGAGTGTGAGTGAGGTTGCCAGATAACCAAGTGAGCCACCCTGGAGACCTGGGTCTCTTCCTTCTAATGGAGGTAGAAATAAGGGTTGTTCTCTCTTTAAGGTTTAGTGAAATGAGGTCAATGCTAGCATTATTGGCTAGGGTAAGTAAAATTCCTTGTCAAGGCTGCTAACCCTCTGTGTTTTGCAAAGGCCTCACCTTTGTTTTTTGTTTGTTTGTTTTTTTTTAATTCCTAGAATATAGAAATGAACAGGAATTAATCAGTTAAGTAGTGATAAAAATCGATGTTTATTAAATAAGGTCCTTATTTTATAACAAGTTACTTTTATTAAGATTCTGCTCTTTTATATCTTTTATGTATGTATGCACATGGTGGTAGTTACTAATTGATTAAATACTTATTTTTTCATATTTGAAATTCTAATTAAGAATTATATTTTTCTTGGGAAAAAGATTATCCGCATTGTATGTTAATCTGTGATCGACATCATTATCTAGTAATGGTCTGCTTTATTTTTCCTAGAAGCTATAACTAAATTCACATGGTGGTAAGTGTCTTAATTATGGTCCCTAAACATCTTCAGGAGTGCTGGTTTTGCCAATCCTAGCCTAGAAAATGATGTCAGAGGATGAATCTGGAAAGGCAGAGATATCCATCGAAGGGGTTTCCTTCAATGGCAGATGTTTAGGAGACAGATTTCTCTAGGGCACCTAAAAGGAAGGGGGACAAAGGAGTCCTTTTTAGAATGTGCTGAAAGCCTTTGTGGGCACCCGTCCTTCAGAGAACCACATGGCATCTGTTGAATCCCATAGTTTCATAGCACTTCCTTTGTGCTTCCCAGGATGAGCTGGTTCCAGCATGGTGTTTCTAAAGCCAATACAGTGGGTCTGAGCAACTAACTTTGCATAAAGAAAACTATTGCTAAAAGACATACTGAACCACTAGCCTCATCTAAGCTACTTTTATCACAGGGAGGGCCAAGTGAACAAGGGAATATAGTGCAGAGCCAGGCTCGTGACCATTGCTGAAAGAAAAAGCAAAATTTATCAGTAAGCTGCAAAATTTAGACCAGTTTATGAGAAAACTGAAAATTCGAAGTGCATGTCTTGCTGATGATGCATAAGAATTGTTTTCAAAAGGAGGCCTAGCATCGGTGAACAAAATATAGAGGATCTTGAAAAAATGGTACCTGGCTATTTTATTGCACTTGGTTATAATATTTCAATGATTAGACCAAGGAAAAGGGCCTTCCTTGTCTGTCATAGATATAAAGCCATGACCTCTGGTAATTTGACACATGCCTGCCAATCAAGAGGTAATGAACAAACATATGTACTTTGGCATATAGTCTAAATAGTTGGAACTTATTTTAATACCGTTCAGATAAATTTATAATTCCAATTTACATAATTATTTATTGTTTCTAAGATTTTTAGAAAAGAAGTTCATGCTGATTAAACATAGGGTACAAAGAAACAGTTTTAAAACAAGTCACACCATATTCTTTCATTAAACTATAGGCACATCAGAGTGGTTTATTACAGAAGCTCCTTCAGGAAGATTCAGCATATGATTATGACCTCATTGTCATTGGTGGTGGTTCTGGTGGCCTTGCCTGTGCTCAGGTATGAAAAAAAATGGAACTTGAAGATAATTTTCCTGGTAATTGCCACAAGAATTTCTCTGCTACTTAAAAGCTAATTTTGATGTTACAGTCTAAGCTTTTATTGTAACAGCTGGTTTAATAGAGAAAAGACTGTGTTATAACACAAATAGAACCTTTTTATTTAGGGAAAAGACAGATTGGGTGAGTGTTAGGAAAATGACAAGATCTTTATTTGTGGCTTTTTTTTTTATTTTTGTAGGAAGCTGCCATTTTGGGAAAGAAAGTTATGGTACTTGACTTTGTCGTCCCATCACCTCAGGGCACATCCTGGGGTAAGCTGTTTTTCATTGTTGTTCTCTGTTCTTTATATACATCTTTGGCTTTGTTCAATCTCATTTAATCCTCCCAACAATCTCAGGAGGTATAAATAGCCTGTTCTATAGGTGACGAAACTGAGTCTCAGATGAAATAACTGGCTTAAGAGCCCATATTTAAAAAGTGCTGATTTGAAAAGATAATACATAAATAATTCAGAAAACTGAATTATAGTTTCCCAATACTTCTGCCATAATTTTTGCACACATGCACTAATATTTTCACATAGTTGTGTTTGCTGTGTACACTGTGTTACGCTCACTTAAGTTTGCCATAACATTTTTCTGTGTTTCTGCATTGATTTCATAACTGACTTTCATGGCTATATGGTGGCCAGTTGAGTTAGTGTGTGTGTGATCATTCCAGGTCAGTTTAATAAAGTGCACAGTAAGTTTCCAGCCCTGAGACTTTCCTGTAGACGAGAGTGCTCATCTTTCCATGTTCCTTTCACTGTAAAACAGAACACATAGATTTTGTGCTGGATATTTTCTGTTTATGTTTCAAATCTATTCTCCATCATCTCTACTCTACTGTATGCCCCAGAGGGCTGATGAATTGGTAGCCTTGCCCTCTGACTTCTGGTGGGGTTTAGCCAGTTGGGGTAATAGGAGGAGAACAAG